AAAAAATATATCCAGAAGCAGAGAAATATTGATTTAGGCCAAAGTTCGTGAAAGTGAACTATGCCACATCAAAACACCTCTGGTTTTGCTGTCTCCCATCTTTTGTGTTAAAACTCTGGCTGATGCCAAATTCTGCTTTCATTTCCCAGCCTGCTCAGCTTCCCTGTGGTTTCTCTATAAGCACCACCGCCACCAAGTTCCTTGCAATGGCTCAAAAAATGGTTTGTTTTCCAGTGCGAGTTTAATTTCCTTAATGGCCCACAATTATATTAGGGCTCCACGAAGGCAGACTGCTTTGGTGGATAAACCCAATAATATGCAATTAAGACTCTCTGTTCTTAATTAAATTGACTGGGAAAGGAACCGTATCAAAGGTTTTCAACGGCCCAGAAAATAACACTTTAGTTTTGTTTTGTTTTTTGTCATTTGTCCACAGCAGGGTGGTCCTTCCCGGAGTGAAGTGGAGTGAAAAGAGACAGTTAGCCAATAAGGAATAACATGTATGTTGCTTTTCCAGATTGCTCAGTAATCTTCATAAAAACCCTTCCTAAAATATGCAGACTTTAAACAAACAAGGTCATCCCTACTGAACGGTGCTTTGCAAACAATGGTTCTTTAACCATGATTTATTAAATACAGGTAGTCCTTGACTTACAACCATGTAAAGTTACAATGGCATAAAAAAGTAATTTATGGCCAGTCCTCACACTTATGACCATCACAGCATCTCCACGGTCCCGTGATCAAAATTTGGCAATTGTCATGTATTTGCAACGGTTGCAGTGTCCTAGGGTCACTTGATCACTGTTTGTGACCTTCTGACTGACTTCTGACAAATGACGTCAACGAGGGAATCCTGATTCTCTTAACGACTCCGTGACTCACTTAACAACTGCAGCTATTCGCTTAATAACTGTAGCAAAAGAGCTCATGAAATCCGGTGCAATTCAGTTAACCATTTTCTTGCTTAGGAAATGGAAATTCTGGTCCCAGTCGTGCTTGTAAGCTAAGGATTACCTGTAAATCACAACAGCTGGATTGGGACAACACAGTACCCATGCAAACAGCGTTAGGGAATAATGTAATATACGAAACCCAGAGATTTTAGTTCAACAACTCCATTGGGGGATGGGGGGGGGAGAAATGGCCTTTGACCAATTGACTTATGACCTCACATACCAGCCAGACACAAATGTTGGTTTGGTGGGGTGGTTGATTCATGGTGTAAGATGTTGCATACTACTTACGCAACTGAGCTAATGGAGTTTATCCTAGTTAAGTTAACCATGGACAAAAATATGTGGGATGAATTATTTCCCTTGATGTAGAATCCTATTTGTTGCAAAGATAATTCTCTACTTTCTCCTCTTTTGTCATTCTATCAAATGACAGATTCTTTCAACATTCATTTCTGCATCTTTTCTCCTGTCTTCTTTCTTCCTTCCTTTCTTTCTTTCTTTCTTTCTTTCTTTCTTTCTTTCTTTCTTTCTTTCTTTCTTTCTTTCTCTCTCTCTCTCTCTCTTTCTCTCTCTCTCTCTCTCTCTCTCTCTCTTTCTTTCTTTCCAGCCGATGCTTCTCTAAGCTAAATGGGGGGGGGGGGAGGGAGAGAGAAGCTTCCACTGTTCTAATGTTCGGCTTTATGTCCATCAAAGCACATGTCTTCCTTTTGAAGTTTCAAAGAACACGTTTTTTCAGCTCCTTTCAAGATGAAATCAATCCAAGATTTTCAGGGATGAAACAGGGAGAACCTTTTTTGCTTTGTTTTCTTTCTTTCTTTTTTCTTTTTTAGGAACCGGCCATGGGTTTATCTTGTCTTGCTTAAGGCCCTTGTTTGTCTTGTGTTTGCTTGCAAAGGACCTTTTTTCTGACATCCCTTCCTTTTTATATTGCATTTTGGCTTGCAGGACAGCTTACACCATTTCAGGCATGGCAGGGGAATGCATTGAGGATTACCCCTGGCATTTGGGTGACATTTAAAGAGTAGCATGATCAGGAAAAAAAATTAAATTCAGATTCATACTAGAGCTGGAAGGGACCTTGGAGATCTTCTAGTCCAACCCCCTGCTCAAGCAGGAGATCCTATACCATTTCAGACAAGTGGCTGTCCAATCTCTTTTTTAAAACCTCCAGTGATGGTTAATTGTTCTCACTGTTAGGAAGTTTCTACTTAATTCCAGGTTGCTTCTCTCCTCGATTAGTTTCCATCCATTGTTTCTCGTCCTGTCTTCAGGTGCTTTGGAGAATAGGTTGACCCACCCTCTTCTTTGGGGCAGCCCCTCAAATGCTGGAAGATTGCTATCATGTCACCCCTAGTCCTTCTTTCCTCTAGACTAGGAAGATTGATTTGATTCACTTTATATTTCAGTTCCATTAGAATCACATTAAGTATCACGTCAAATTAATTACATATGACTAATATGGCTTTTGATGTGAAGGGGAGATCTTCAAGAGAGGCCGTTTGTCGACTAGACTGACATGGGAAAGTTTATTCTACTTCCATTTTTCTTAAGAAAATAATATGGGCATAACTAACAAGAAAACAGAGTCAAGTTGTAGTCAAAGGACGCTTACCTTTTTACCTATTGACTGTTTATTTATTTATTTATGAGACTTATATACCGCTTTAAGTGCAAGCACTCTCTAAGCGGTGTACACCAGTAAGCAATGTGTATATATATATATATATATATATATATATATATATATATATATATATATATATATTACATTGCCCCCAACAATCTGGGTCCTCCTCATTTTACCTACCCCGGAAGGATGGAAGGCTGAGTCAACCTTGAGCTGGTGAGATTTGAACCGCTGACCTGCTGAACACAGTCAGCTAAAGTGGCCTGCAGTACTGCACTCTAACTGCTGCGCCACCTTGGCTCTTGGTTGGTCTTATTTATTTATTTATCAGATTGCTGTCTCTTTTTCAGAAGTTCAGCACACCCACCACCACCCAGTTAGGAAGGACTGGTTTGGGGAGATTTCTATGGACCTTCTTTGGAGACCATATTTGGTCTTGGGATCTCAGGTGGTATATATATCCTGGTTTGCTACTGGCACGCAGCTCATCAAGAAGTTTGCATTGCATGAATGGTGACCCTCCACACATCTTAAAAATCCACTTTCAACACATTGCCATCTTTGTTTCTGCCTTCTTTAATTTTCAGTTCGCTCCTAGTCAAGAGACAGCCGAGTGGCCAGGAGATTGTCTAAAGCAGGGGTCGTCAAACTTGGCTGGCTGAGGAATTCTGGGAGTTGAAGTCCACAAGTCTTAAAGTTGCCAAGTCTGAAGACCCCTGATCTAAAGACCTTTTTGCAATGGAGAAAAGGTGACTCTCTCTAATTCCAGATATCTAAACTGACCAGTTGAATCTTCACTTACCGTAAATGCCAGCGTACAAGGCGACCCGGCGTATAAGACGACCCCCGTCTTTATAGCTGGGCCGCATTCCTAGAACGTCGTCTTATATGCCGGAAACTACCAGTATTTCCGGCGTATAAGACGACTCGGCGTATAAGATGACCCCCGTCTTTGCCGCCGATTTCAGCGCTCGCGGAAGTCGCCTTCTACGCCAGCATTTACGGTATATTGACCACTTTCTCCGAATCACACCTGGTTGCACTTCATTGACTTAATGTCGAAGACTGGTCCATGGCGTGCAATCTCCTTCTTTACAAAATTCCAGCATTTAATGCTACAGTTTATTTAAATTTATTTATTTATCCTGATTTTATTTTTTATAAATCACTCAAGAAAGCAAACATATCAAACACACCTTCCTCGGCCTATTTTCCTCCACAACAACCCTGTGAGGGAGGGTTGGCCTGAGAGAGAGGGAATGGGCCCAAAGCCATCCAGTTGGCTTTCATGCCTAAGGTGGGACTAGAATTCACGGTCTCCTGGTTTTCTAGTCACACATGCAATCTGATGCAACCTGCTAACTAGGAAATTCAGGGAGCTGAAGCTGGCATGTCTTAAAGTTGCCAAGTTAAACAAATGCTGATCTAATGAAAAACACCATGTAACAATTGAATACATTCGTGAGGCTTTGTGAGTCTATGTTTTATTAGCAGTGACCAGGTGGCACTCTAGCATCCATATTGCACGGACTCCAAATGTTTTAGTTGCTAGTATCATTTAAATATGCGCGTTGCCTAAGTGAAACATTAGAAATAAAATGTTCCTGAAAGAAACAAGCGTTTAAAGCGTCCTGGAGGTGTTGGTGTGTCTCAGCTACTTAAAACAGAAGGGTACATGAAATAGACATATCTGAAAAGGTGGTCTCTGTTTGTGGGGTTCTGTTACTTAATTATTACATGGTCCCTGTTGAAATGGCACCAAGCTCCAAGTATATCTGCAGTTTCAGGTGGACTCATCTACAGGTATAGTGTGACACATTTCATGAATAAAGCAGCTATCCTGTTACAGGTAGTTCTTGACTTACAAGCATTTCATTTAGCTGAAGCCACAACAACATGGAAAAGGTACATATGACAGGTCCTCACAGTTATGACCATTGCAGCATCCCCGGGGTCATGCGATGAACATTCAGATGCTTGGCAATTGGGATGTATTTATCAGAGTTGCAGAATTCTGGGGTAATCTGATCCCCATTTGTGATCTTCCCAGCTTTTGATGAGCAAAGTCAATGGGGAAAGCCAGATTATCTTAACGAGGACATGTTTCATTCAACAACTGCAGTGATTCTCTTAACAAACATGCCCAAAATGTTCCTAAAATCAAGCATGACTTCATATAACAATTAGCTTGCTTAGCAACAGAAATTCTAGTCCCAACTGTGGATGTAAATCCAGGGCCACTTATACTCTAATTTACTTCTGAACAAAAGTATTTTCTTCTAGAAAAATCACAGCATTTAATTCCCGGGACTAAGTGGTCATATTACATTAGAGGAGCTTGCTGTTTTCTTGCCCTCAAGAACTTAAATAATATTCTTCTGCGAGGTACAACACAATCTGCAAACAGATCCACGCATGGTGTAAGTTTTCTTTATATTCAGTTCTCCGTACAAAGCACGGCCCATCCGAGTGGTCAGATCACACGGAGTGAAAAAAAATATGACACACAGTATAAAGAAAGTTTAAAAGAAACAGGAGTAAAGACTAAATGGCAAAGAAACTGAAGTGTGCTTCACAAGTGACAACATTGTGATTTACAGTTGCTGGCCTGAAGACTGATAATCCATTGGCTGCACAGTACCTAAAAGGAGAATATACCACATAGGTCATACAGCATCAAGGTGCATCCAAGTGGCCTTTTGTTTATAAATTGTTGGTTCAAAAAGTGGAAGCCATACCAGTGCAATTGAGAAAATACTATTTTTTTTTACTCTACCCAACAGGATTGTTGTGAGAAAAACATGAAAGAGAGTACAATATATGCCGCCTTATGTTCTTGCAGGAAAGTGGGGATATAAATCTCCTCAGACATTTAACAAGTACGTTTTGGAGAAAACCTAAGATTGCTGAAGGACAGTCATAAATCACGTAAGCCTTTTGAAAAAGGAGTTGCAAGTATTAACTGTCAAAAAATGTTTTGCAAGATGTGAAATATCACTGAAATTGCCGGCAGGTGTTATTTTTTATCTCCAAGAAGGGAAAGACCTAAACAATAAAACATCGGAATAACTAGAAAGCAAGCACTATTTATTCTTAATGCAATATGGACTGTCAGAGCTGGGTTTTTCCAAACTGGATTTTTTTAAAAATTTGGTGGGGCTCTGAGAAACTAAGGGAAATTATCTTGAACATTTCAGCTGGTCTGGTCCCCTCAAAACATTGGCATGGTGTTGTCCACAAAAGCAGCGGAAAGACCAGTTTACTGCAGGAATAGGAGACCCTAAGACTGAGCTACAGAGAAACAACAAAAAGGCAGAAATAGGAAAAGCACAATGTTTTATATGGCTTTCTTCGACAACATTTAAAAGGCAGCTCCATCCATTCATTTAGTGACCATTTGAAATGACAAGGGCACTGAAAAACGTGACTTGCAACTGGTCCTCGCGTTTATGATGATTGCAGTATTCCCCCCCCCCAATTACCTGATCAGAATTTTGCCAGCTGGCAACTGGCATGGATATACGACGGTTACAGAATCCCAGGGTCATGGGATTACCATTTGTGTCCTTCCCAACCAGCTTCTGACAAGCAAGGTCAATGGGGAAAACTGGATTTGCTTAATGACTGCTGGACACACTTAACAACTGCCGTGATTCGCTTAACGAAAAAGGACGTAAAATTGGGTCATGCCATAACCGCTTTGCTTAGCAATGGAAATTCTGTTTATAAGCCGAGGGCTACCTGTATATCAAACGAATCAAGGTGATTGACAGTTGAGTCTGAAGTGGCAAGCACTCTAAGCATATTTGCCAAAGTGTAGTTCAGTGTCTAAATATTAAGCCAGAGGTCCTTTTGGGCACCAGGGACAGGTTCCATGGAGAAAAGCTTTTCCACGGACTGGAGAGTGCGTGGTTATGTGTGCTGCCTGCATCCCGCGGATGGGGCTTTGCTTGTTTGTGCGGACCGGTTGCTGACATGCTGCGGCCCGGCACCGGTCCACAGACCAGGGGTTGGAGACCCCTGTATTAAGCTCCTTGGTATGGCACCCACTTTTTTTAAAAGAAAAAACAAACTTCTGGCTTCAAACTGGTAGTTTTGAAGGAAGGAAAAGAAACTGAAGCAATACAGACAGTGAGCAATCACAAAGGACTTTTGACACCGCGTCGGTTTTGTTTTAATGTCAACTAATCGGAGCCCCATGCAAAACCTTTGGTTGTTTCTTTGATCAGACGGGCAATTCCAAAGGGAAGGAGAAAAAAAAAAGAGAGAGAGAGAGATTTACAGTATGTAGAGCTTTCCTTTCGGGCTGAAAAACGAACAAGCTTTTAAAAAAGTATGAATGTTGAAGTCTCCATCAAATCCCCGTATGGTACACCTTTGTACACAGGCGTGTTATGTTCGTCGTATATGTACATCTATTTACACACACGGGTGTCTGCTTTCAAGGGAGATTAAAAATCCATTGATAAGGAGCTCTGAGCAGCATCTTCGCGACCCCTCACGTAGATTTCACAAGGGATCTCCTCCATTACCCGGTCTTCAATCACCTGCTCGGGACATTCGTGAGCCTGCTTGAAAGTGTAGCTGCTCTTCTTGAAGTTGCTGTTGAAGGTTTTCATCGGCTGCGGCGGGGCGAAATCGTTGTGGAAAGGCAGTTCCATGGAACTAAGGTTGGTCCTGCTCTGCTTGACTGTCGCGGCTTGCGAGCCGCAGTGATGGTCGTGAATGCACCGCGAGGCGGTCGAGGAGCACCTCATTTTCTCGTAGTTTTCGAGTTCCTCGGAGAAGTCAGCCAAGTCGGCCGAAATCTCTTTGTCCCTCAGGGAGAAGAGTTCGTAATGGGGAGGGTCGAAAACCTCCTGGAAGCCAGTTTTGTTGAAGGTGGTTTTGCAAGAAATGACTTTCTTCCGCGGCTGCTTGATCTGCACCAGGATGGAGATGATGAGAAGAACCAAGACGATCCCGGAAGTAATCCCAATGACGGTCCCGTGAGTTTTGGTGATTTGTTCAAACAATCCCGTTTTCTTCTTTTCTGAAACAAAGCGACCAACAAACCAACCGATGAATGAAAAAGTTAAGACTATCAGCAACCAGCTTCAAATCTAAACTACAGGTCATCCTCACCTTACAGCCACAACTGAGCCCAAAATGACTGTGCTAAGTGAGATAATTGTTAAGTGAGTTTTACCCCATTTACGACTTTTCTTGTTAAGGGAATCTGGCTTCTTATTGAGTTTGTTTGTCAGAAAGCTGCAAAACTGATCACGTGACTAGACCAGAAGACCAGAAATCAATAGGTCCATCAACACCACTGAGTTCAATATAAGTTCCTCTGAAGAGGTTCTCAAGAACCTGTTCTCCAAAGCACCTGAAGGCAGGACAAGAAGCAACTGATGGAAACTAACTAAAGAGAGAAGCAACCGAGAACTAAGGAGAAACTTTCTGACAGTGAGAACAATTAACCAGTGGAACAACCTGCCTCCAGAAGCGGTGAATGCTCCAACACAGGAAGTCTTTAAGAAGAGACTGGACAGCCATTTGTCTGAAATGGTGTAGGGTTTCCTGCCTATACCACGGCGTTGGATTAGATGACCTCCAAGGTCCCTTCCAACATCATCATCATCATCATCATCATCATCATCATTATTGTTATTAACCAATTGGCCTGTGCTACTTCTAAATATACAGAAACCCAGTGTAACAGCTCATTAAGTAGAAATTTGAGGCACAATTAGTATGCTAGTTAAAATGAAACGCTTGGCTTAGAATTTTGTGAAAGGCATTCTCTAATTAGATGGCACTAGTGGCAACATTTCAGCTTGAATCTCAACATGGAAGAGAGCCAGATCAACATAGCCAAATGGCATCTGATTTGCTACAGGAAGTTTTCTTGAAAAGTTCAGTTAGAATACCTTTAGTTTTTAAGCAATCATGTCACGCCCTTTAATTTCATGTACATTGATCAAATGCGGGCTTGCAGAATGTGTAAACAGATGCACTGCTTGTCTGTTGCGGTAATTTTCCCAGAGAGGTTAATGATGAATGCAGTAACACACTTAAGAGAGAAATAATAATGCCACACGTTGTGGCTAGTCATGCTAAGCTGGTTGAAATGAATATAAATGATATAATGCCCTGCATTAAGTTTGCAAAATTGGCTATTTCTTGTAACCAATTGCTATTTTAAATCTGAATGTGAGACGAAGTAAAGATGACCTTTCTTTTGAAGTGATATAAGTGTGAGGTTGGAAGTAACAACCTGAAGACTTATTTTATCTTTTAAAAACCTTACATATAAATATATTCCTTAATAAAAGCCCATGGATCATGAGGAACGATTCTTAGCCTTAGTATCCTCTCTTAAAATAAGGGTGATAAATATTCTTTACCCAATGCTATTATTAAATGGGCGAACCTTTCCATTTTCAAAAATACTTGTCTTTTGCATTAGGAAAAGGATGTCTGAATTCAGAGTAAATTATACATGCAGATGTGTCGGAATAGTCTATTTGTGAAGCTGTTTTGTCTAAGAATGATCAATGCTAAGGATAACAGTGATAGCTTATTTTAAACCATCTGCAGTAGGTCTGCAACAGTTCTATTTTTTATTAAGCTATAAAACCGAAAAACAAGAACAGGCAACAAAAGTAATACACTGAAGCCTGGAAACTGCATTTATATGGTTTGATTTTAAAACAGAGCTCCAAAGTGAAGGCACAAATAACAGTCCCAAAGGTGCTTTTTCAAAAGGCAACTGGACCTTCTTTTTTTTTTTTTCTTGGAAGGCATTTTGCTTCTCATGCGAAAAGCTTCTTCGGTTCTGACTGAATGGTGGAGAATTCTCCATCATTCAGTCAGAACTGAAGAAGCTTCTCGCATGAGAAGCAAAATGTCTTCCAAGAAAAAAAAAACCCAAAGAAAGTCCAATTGCCTTTTGAAAAAGCACCTTTGGGATAACCATGACCTGGATGACTAAGAATCTCCATAGACATCATGCAAATAACAGTTGATATAAAGCTGGCAAAAATTTAACTGTCCTAAGCAGGAAAAAAAAAAAAAAAAGAATGGCTGAATTCTGCAATTCAATTAACTTGTGTTTTGCTTTGTAAAATTTAGGTAGGCAAATCTCTTGGGTTCCAAGAAAAAAATGGAGTTCACAGTCTTTTGAGGTTGGAAACTTGCTGGTAATGGTCTTTAGGCTGCTAAGAAGAAAAATGGAAGGCTCGCTCACAACTCACTCAAGGGTTTTAGTCATTACTCACCTTTGCAATGATTTTCATCCCATGGATAGGCACAGTTTTGAATGCCATTGCAAACTAAGGAATTATTGATGCACATGTTGCTATGGCAGAAATAAGTACCACCTAAACATGGAGCTGAGAGAAACGGGGGGGGGGGGGAATAAAGATTACACAATTTTCAGCTTTTCCTTAAAATATATTTTCAGTACATAAATTGCTTCATTAGATTGTAGGTATAGGTTTTGGTTTTTTGTTTTTGTTTTGCATATAATACAGTAACATATTTAGCAGTGGTGGTCATCTCCCCCTCAAAAAACTGAGAGTTCAATCCTAGATCGCAGCAGATATTTATCTCCTAGGGTGCGGAGAAAAAATATCTGCTGTGAATTCTGAGTAGGTGTCAGGAAGGGCATCCAGCCAGTAAACGCTCAGCAATACCCCGAATAATTAAGGGATTACAGAGTCATGAAAAGGGAGTTTTAGAGAGCATATTTAGAATATTTGTAGGAGATGACCAGGCTGAGCCTGCACACGTTCACAAAAGATCTAAATCCAGCCAACCTCGAATGCCTTAATTCCCGCTCATTTCCCTTCCCCATTAGTAGCTCAGATTCTTGTAGAGAGCTTAAGCTTTTGCAATAAATCTTTATAACTCATTTGAACTGTCTGACTCTCCTGATTTCCCTGACACTTAACAATATTTTTTTTTATAGATTTGGCTATTTCTATCACATCTGTGCACCTTATTAAAAGTAGTTTATCGGTAGATTTATTTTCTCAGCGAAACAGGGACTATATGTTTTCACAATTAGTATATAGTAAATCGACTTGGTGAGAAATTGCTCTCCTGTAACCATTTCTTTCCAAGTTCCTGGCTTTACACGATCTGTGTTTTTAATTATGAGCCATCCTCTATGGATTGTGAGTAGGGCAATAAGATGATTATGTCACCAAGTTATCAGAAAAGAGGCGAATATCGTTTCAGATTTAATTATAGTTCTTGTTCCCTGCTACTGTTCTTAATTTAACAGATTAAATGTACAGAGCATTTAATTAAGGAGGACAATGACTTAGTCTATTCGAAAAGGTTCTTCTAAGCAGGTTTAGCTCAAATTATATCAGGAAGGAGAGAAAAACAACAACAACAACAACAACAAAAAACCTTCTGGGAAGTCTTACACAATTGTGCTTCTTTTTCAACTCGAGGCTTCAGGATATACTTACGGTCCATAAATGAGGTGAAGAGCATCCGAAACCGGCTTAATCGACTCCCTTCGTCCGCCCACATGCGTATCACCCCAGTTCCTGTTTGAAGCGTCACATCATTAGCCACAGTGCTGCAAAACTTGGCCTTCAGGTTTTCAATGGAGCTGCTTCCGTCATAGACAGCCACAAAGTTCCTCTTGCATTCGTTGGAGTGTTCCATTTGATAGTCCAGAAATCTCAAATAGATCTATTGGACATTACAAGAGAACACTTTTCAAAGAAACGAAGGAGTCACTCAACGGCATAAAGCCCAACTGGAAAACATTGCTTCTTATGAGAAAAAAATAAAATAAAAAAATAAACAGAGTAACAGAACTAGAATAACAGAGTTGGAAGGGACCTTGAAGGTCTTCTAGTCCAACCCCTTGGCTCAGGCAGGAAACCCTATACCCTTTCAGACAAATGATTGTCCAACCTCTTTTTAAAAATTTCCAGTGTTGAAGCATTCACAACTTTTGGAGGCAGGTTGTTCCACTGATTAATTGTTCTGACTGCCAGGAAATTTCTCTTTAGTTCTAGGTTGGTTCTCTCCTTGATTAGTTTTCACCCATTGCTTCTTGTGCCTTCAGGTGCTTTGGAGAATAGCTTGACTCCCTCTTCTTTGTGGCAGCTCCTGAGATACTGGAACACTGCTATCATGTCCCCCCTCCTCTCACTCTTCATTAAATTAGACATGCCCAATTCCAACAACTGTTCCTTATATGTTTTAGCCTCCAGTCCCCTAATCATCTTTGTTGCTCTTCTCTGCACTCTGCAATTTCATTCAGATACAAGGAATAGATGCACAGCTTGTGTGTGTTTGGATATACCACTTGCCATTTCTAATCACTGCACTCTCTCATGCATAAAGCTAAAATAATCACATGTTCTAAAACAATTCCCCTCTTAAATAGAGTTTATACTTTTTCTAGAGCAAAGAGGGACAAAAAAATCAATTTGATTACAACAGAAAACAGAGGAACAGAAGCAAATCCTTGTATCTTTCCTCTCTTGCCCCAACCAGCTTGATTAAACTGCAAAGCAATTTATTTCCCTTCTTCTGAAAATAAAGTCTGCATTGCTAAGGTGCTATAATTGAAATAGCAAGGAGACATTATGTAACTCTCTATTCATTAAATAGAATTCCTTGATGTCCCCAATCTTCTCCCGAACATCCAAAATTAAAGGGAACACTCAAAAACATAAAAAGAATTTTGCGAGAAGAAAGAATACAAGATAAGACCGACATTTTGTATGTTTCTACTGTATAAGGAGTCAAACATTTATTCAGGCATAAAGGAAATTTTTCTCCACCTGCAAGTTGTGATTTTGTCTAATTAATATAATTCTGTCTTGACAGATGCATACATTATTTTATCAGTTTTATCAGATAGAAGATAGATCAACAATTCCTACACAGACAGATGTTTACAAGGCATACCTTGTTTTGCTGTGATTCACTTTATTGTGCTTTGCGTATATTATGATATTTTACAAGATTGCAGTCACTGAGTGCTCAAATCATAATCTGGCATTTTGTAGCAATATATTTATTTATTATGTACATCAGCTTTTTTTTCAGACCTAATGCTACTGCATGCTTAACAAACTACAGTATAGTATAAACACATTTTTTGGGAAACCCAAAAGATTTGTATGACTTATTTATTGTGATATTCTGGAACTGAACCTGCCATATAGCACTTAGCCATAGCACTTAGACTTATATACTGCTTCATACAGTGCTTTACAGCCCTCTCTAAGCAGTTTATAGAGTTAGGCTATGGCCCCCAACAATCTGAGTCCCCATTTTACCGACCTGGGAACGATGGAAGACTGAGTCAACCTGGAACCGGTCAGGATTGAACTCCTGGTAAGGGGCAGAGTTAGCCTGCAATACTGCATTCTAACCACTGGGAAGGAAGGAAGGAAGGAAGGAAGGAAGGAAGGAAGGAAGGAAGGAAGGAAGGAAGGAAGGACAATAGCACTTAGATTTATATACTGCTTCACAGTGCTTCACAGCCCTCTCTAGTCAGCCTCTTGCACCCCCAACAATCTGGGGCCTCATTTTACCAACCTCGGAAGGATGGAAGGCTGAGTCAACCTTAATAATATCTTAAAGCAATTAAAGGCTGAAAGATAGTCACACAAAATAGTAACTCTTCTAATTTGGTTTTGAAGCAGCTTATGAAATGAACTCTAGATTGTTTTTTTGGTAAGCACCAATGCAATCATTAATTTCAGTGAATGAGGAATGACAATTTGCAATTATTACTAGCAGCCAGCTGTTCTCATTAGACATTAGACTCCAACTCTTTCATAAACCCACCTTGGAATTTGGAGTTGCCTTAATTGTCCAGATGCAGTCAACGGCTTCGCCCGGCTTTGCTTTTTCTCCATGTTCTACCTGGCTGGAGCGCACGATGCCATCCGCTCCGGAGAGTTCAAATTGGCAATCTAGAACACAAAGGACACAAGCTGTAGTCAAGCCAGAGATCAAAGTGATTTAGAGTGTAGTAAGCAGAAGAGACGAGCGCCGTGATACCATACCTGGGATGGGCTTTAAAATACCTTCTCGGTGTGTGAAATCAGGATCTACAAAGGAAGAGGAGAAAAGGAAGAAAAAGAATGTTATTCTGTCTAAAATTTAATTAGAAAGCAAGATAATCTAGGGACCAGAAAAATGCAGCACACCAGGATGCTGAGCTGAGAAATGGCATGTTGACTTCTTCCCAATGACATACAGGTAGACCTTGACTTACGTCCATTTAGTGACCGTTCAAAAAAGCGACTTATGACCATTTTTCACACGTTGTGGCATCCCTGTGGTCATGTGATCAAAATACAAAAAAGCTGAGCCCTGATAGTCCCGAAGAAGCACTGATCCTGGCGCTTCCGCTAAGCCCTGACAGCCCTGCAGCTCCAGCCATCTCTCACTCTGGCTTGTGCGGTGCTGTCACTGGTTCAGCTCATTCCCCTCCCCTGCTTCCACTGTTCTAGAATGGTCGTGTACCACCTGCCAGGTGCCAATGTACCACAGGTGGTACCCGTACCACTGGTTGAAAAGCCTTGTTCTAGATCAGTGATTCTCAACCTGTGGGTTGGAACCCCATGTGGGGTCGAACGACCATTTCACGGGAGTCGCCAAACAACACAGTCTGCCATTTTCCCCCCCTTTTCCTTAGCTGTGCTACTCCCTTTTATTCTATTGGCTTTTGAAAGCCAATAGAATAGACTCTCTTGAATAGAGTCTAATTCTATTGGCTTTCAAAAGCCAATAGGAATTGTCCAGGCTGTCTCTGCCCTGCTGAGCCTGCCAAAAGTCCCATTCTGCAAACGGTGCTGCACCAGTTGAGTAGTCCTCGACTTACAACCGGTTGAGTAGTGCTCGACTTACGACCGGTTGGGGGTCGCGGCATTAAAAAGGTTGAGAACCACTGTTCTAGATTTTCCTTGCAGCTCTCAGAAAAACGAGTGTAAAACAACTGTGAGTAGAAGAAATAGGATAAATTGTAGTTTTTGGCAAGCGGAGGCAGAAACCCAAGACTCTTCTAGAAGGATCACCTCAATACCATTCAGTAAGAAAAATGGGACATTTCTACCTGGTATAAATGAATACTTGGCTTTATATCCTCGTCCTTCCAGTTCTTCATCTGAGGTAAACTTGATCCACATAAATCTTCCCGTTGATCTGATCGGGCTTGGACTTTTTAGACCGCAATAACGATCAATGACCGGGGAGAACCCAAAAGGTCCGTCTCGAACCTCCAGATGATCGAATCGACATTCGAACGAAGGCTCAACGAAAAACGGTTCATCAAATGTCAACTCTATTCTTTGCCGCGGGGCAGCTGGAGAGAAGCAGAAACAATCCGGGAGATCAATGTTAATTCTCCACCTCAGGGAACGAAAGACACATTAAGGGTTCTGTTATTAAACCACCTCTGCGATAGACATCTGAACGTAGAGATGGATCTCCAATTCTGTGCAATGGATCTGCTGAAATATACAGAGAGTCCTTGACTTACGACAGGCCGTTTAATGACTGCTTAGAGTTACGACCGACTCCTCGGAGCTACGTAAGACCTGTTTTTAAAGTTGCGACATCCTCCCCCTCCCCCTCCGATCACACAACTGCACTTTGGGTACTTGGCAATGAGCCACCCATATTGTTTGCAGAGTTCTCTGCTCCTGTGATTTGTGATAGTTTTTGCCAGTTTCTGGCCAAAAAAAAAAAAATGTCCAGTTTTGTGATAGTTTTGGCCAGTTTCTAGCCCAAAAAGTGGGGAAAAGGGATTTGCTTACTGACTGTCACAGGAAGGTTACGAGAAGCCTCAGCTTATAATCACAATGACTTAGGACTGTAATTCTGAGCTTAAATACGGTCATAAGTCAAGGATTACCTCTTCTGTTCCTTTCAGTTTAATGACTCGGTGATTGAGTTAGTAACTTAGTCGGAGTGATTTCTGCCAGATCAACAAGTGGAGCTTAAATATTCTATAGAAAAGCGTTTCTCAACCTTTGCAATATTAACATGCCTGGACATCAATTCCCACAATTCTCCAGCGGGCTATTGGAGTTGAAGGCAACACAACTTAAACGTTGCCAAGGCTGAGAAATAAAGCTCCCTTCGGTCCTGTCACTTTTTGCACAGTTAACAAAAAGGCTACACAACTGCATCAACTAATACAATAGTGAACTCAAAGGGAAGGCTTTTGAAGTGCCTGTAGATTTTGACAGAATTTGGAGCCTCCAGTGAAGGGAGCATCTCTGAGCATTAATCAAGATGATCCTAAAAACCAAGTTCTTATATTAAAACTAATATAATATTTAGTTCTGGGCTTTTGCTTTCCACATGAAAATATATAGACATCATGTTGGTTGTTGAGGTTAACTGAAATTCATAATAGGCTGTTGCAATTAACTTAAAGTCAACCTCCCTGAGTCGGTGTATGTGGTTTTGTTATTCCACATGGGTTGATATGTACATTATTCACACTGTCAGTAATCGAACATTAAACAAAATCTAGATATGTCCATACCTTCTAAAATATAGACACATTCCTGGTTGGGTGGGTAGAAGTTAGGAAAGTTGGATGAAGCAAAGTGACCTCCATTGCTTGTTCGAACCCAGTCACTACATTGAGTAGATGCCATGCGGTTACTTCCAAGATCTTGCCCGACTTTGGGAAGAAAAGAGAAAAATACAATTCACCGTCCTTCTAGCAAACCTCAACAAACATCAGCCCACTTCAGCGTAATGAGCTGTGTGGGTTGACAGCATCAAACAGAGGATGCAGCCTCTGTGTTGATGCACGCCTGTAAAATTATTTTTTTCCCCCCAGTTGTGGATAAACAATCTCTTCACAGTTCACAAGCAGATGGCAGCATCTAGCTAATTTCGGCCTCAGAAAACTAAAAGGGACAGAACTGACAGTACATGAAAAGGATCTGATAGTACATTGAAAGGGTACATGAAAAGGAGAGCATTAACAGGTACCAAAATTGTAGACTAGACTGGAAGGGATGGGGGAGACATTTTGAAGGACTGAAAAGACATCAGAGCGTCTTTAATCTCTTTATAATGGGGAAAAAAAATTGTTGTGAGAAGTAAGACAGAGTTACACTGCTGCATAGCCCAGCTTTTCTAGCTCTGAGGCGCTCACCCATGTCCGCTATCCGGGCTCCCCGTAACTTGATTTCTAGTTTACATCATTTCTGAATATCTTATTTCATTTTAATTCCCCTTCCCCACAGATTTGCATTTTCAACGTCTTCTTAAATTATACCTGGCCAAATTAAAAATGGAGAATTGAAATTCTGCTGTAAGAAAAGAAAGGACTGGACAATTGTTTGTGTTCTGTCTAAAAATGTGCAAGCCCAGAGCTTTATGCAGACCACAGCTGAATTTCAGATCATCCTTGTCCTAATTTCAGTTATTTTCTATAAGCAATGAATTTAGATTTTGTCAGAGGCAAGCAACCGGAGCTGCTCATGAAGAGGAGAAATAACTTTATTATTTAGCACGTATGTTACAAGAATCTCCCCAGACCGCTTGCCTTCCCCTGGGAATGACCAGATAAGGCTTTATGGATCTTGGGGGAGGTTAAGCTTATGCTGCTTGCAGTTGTGCAAGGATTCCAAGCTAGGCCCTCGCTTGACCCATCCTTCCAGCCTAGCTGGCAGTTTCCCGACAGGTATCTGGCAAAGGCAATTTATTGCAGACTTCTTCCCTGGGAGAGCAACTGAGAAGATGGTCAGAAAGTTACAGACAGGGAAATGTGGATGGCCACACTTACCTTTGATCCAATGTTCACCTTCCTTCCTTCCTTCCTTCCTTCCTTCCTTCCTTCCTTCCTTCCTTCCTTCCTTCCTTTCTCTTTCTTTCTCTCCCTCCCTCCCTGTATCTACTTCGTTCTTATCTTCACACACCCTCTCTCCCTCCCTCCCTCTTTCTTTCTTTCTTTCTTTCTTTCTTTCTTTCTTTCTTTCTTTCTTTCTTTCTTTTCCTCCCTCCCTCCCTGTATTTACTTCCTTCCTATCTTCACGCTCCCTCCCTCCCTCTTTCTTTCTTTCTTTCTTTCTTTCTTTCTTTCTTTCTTTCTTTCTTTCTCTCTCTCTCTCTTTCTTTCCTCATTCATTCTTCATTAATTCATTCTTGCCATTCAACATTCCTATCCCCAAAAGCTGCTTCTTTCTCAGAGACCCATTAATGTACCATGCTTGCTTTGTGAAAAGTTAATTAGCTTTTAACGTTTACATTCTACATTCTAATCTGCTGAATTAAGAGATCTTATTCTTAGGTCTATGTAGCTGTGATTCACAGAAGAAATCGCCACTCTGCCAATAAGGAAGCCAAAGATGAATATCAGAGCCCTACATTCTCTCTTATTCCTGCCTATTTTCCATCATGTGCTGGTTAAGCAAGGGAAAATCATAGTAAATGTGTTTGTTTTGTTTTTACATTAACCATGATTTGGACAATCTGCTGAAGTACTCTATGTTTTAATAGAACAGATTTTGCAGATTTATTGTTTGACCCTTCTATACCTTTCTGAATTTATCAAACAACACTTTTGTCGATAACGGCTTATTTTGTTGTTTTAAACTAATGTGCCACACAGAAATGCGATTGCATATTTTTTTTTCCTCCTATCATTTCTCACACCATACCTTGTGTTTTTTGAGCCACGGCGATGCCTTCCACCACCAGGATAGTTATCAAGAACACTATGGGGAAACAGCCAGAGAAGAAATTGGTAATTAGAACAAAAGGGATATTTGCCTTCATTCACCAAAAGGGATGGGCTGTACAGAGGCCACTATATTACTTGACTCCAGAGGAATCACAAAATCAGTACTCAACATTTTGCATACAGTGTCACCAACAATATTTGCAGTCTTTATTTAGAAGAAGAAAAAAAAATAATCAACACATTTGCACAATATCCAGGGCCTGATACTTTGACAATAAAAGAGCATTTACAGGATAAATGCCATAACCTCAAAAGAACACTCTCTTTTTGCCACTTCATTTTTATATTTATCTTTGTCAAAACTTTTTCTTGGGAATCCTGGCGCAAAGGACGCCACTAACTTTCTGAGGAGAGACAACAGAATAAAGCAAACAGACAGGGAATATCACAATGTGTAATGCTCAGTTACATATTTTCAACGAAGGAAATATCTATTATAGCATGGGACACCTTGGATTTGAAAGTTTCATCTGTTGATTTTTTAAAAAAAAAATAAAGGTGATGTTTTCTTTAAATAGTCTTTCCAGATTGAGGGGACCTGTTCAGTATACCCCTCCGAATTTTAGCATCTCGTTTTGTTGCAAGAGTAAAGGTGGTCCTTGATTTACAACCACAGCTCCAAATTTCCGTTGCTAAACAAGACAAGTGAGTTTTGTTCCATTTTACAACCTGTCTTGCCACAGTTGTTAAGAGAATCTGGCTTCCCCATTGACTTTGCTTGTCAAAAGGTTGCAAAAGAGGATCACGTGACCCCAGGACGCCACGAGCCGATTGCCAAGCGTCTGAATTTTGATCACGTGACTCGGGAGATGCTGCAACGGTCGTAAATTTAAAAAACTGATATAAGTCACTGTCTTCAGTACCATTGTAATTTTGAACAGTCATTAAATGAACTATTGTTAAGTAGAAAACTACCTGTAATTTTTTAGATATTAGCCCCAATCATCTGAGATTAGGACGTAGAGAAACACATTATGCTAAAATGATATTTCTAGTCTACTTTGATTTCTCTCCTTGTGAGATATAATCTGAGGCCTCAGGCTACAGGTGATCCCTGAGCATTGCCCTCATCTGAATCTTTTTAAAAATGGTTTTCAAGTCATTCTTAGCAGTTTGTCACTTTGCATTTGAAATGTTGCTCTAGAGAGCCACAACGATCAATATTGAATTTGTAGGCTGGCAGAAGCTGAAAACATTTAATGAAATAGTTGTAAGTCAAGGACTACGTGTAGTTCAAACTGTGATCTCAATACATTACAAATTATAGGACAGAGATAACATATCTAGGGCAGCTTAAGAGCTCATTCTTTTAATCAGAAATAATAGAATCAAAGCATGCTTATATTTTGGATTCATATGAGACGTGCCATTGCAAGGCATTAATTCATGAGAGAATTGCCTTAGCTTATAATCAACTGTTTTCTTCTGCAAGTTCTTCTACCATTTTCTTTCAAATGTAATTAATATTCCATTAAAGATCTTTCACACATCCAAACATGCACCCCAGGCCACTGATTTCATTAATCCTGATCTACGGCAGAATGTAACTTCCCAACAGAAGGCACTGCAGCTGCTACAGATGGCTAACTGCTTTTTATCACTACTGACCTACTCAAGACAGAGAACAGACATCATAAAAGTGAAAATCCTATTTTCTATTATGTGTCTCCAGGGTATTGCTGCACTATTAATTAGCTGCCACCAAGAAAAAGAGAACTATGTTTTAGATCAGTCCCTTGGTTGCTATATCCATCTGTTGCAAAGGTTAGCTTTTTTGCCTCCGGAATTTACATCACGTTAACCAGTGACAAAGTGATATCACTTTATTAATGAGGTAGTTGTTGTCTAACTAAACTGTCTTGTCATGGAAAAGTTCTAATATTGGACCATAGAGAGTCTGTTGGAGATTGATAATTTGAGATATAAATAAGGGAAGTGAGGTGGAAGGGGGTCTAGGACCGTGGTGGAGAACCTATGGCACGTATACCAAAGGCGGCACGCAGAGCCCTCTCTATGGGCACGCGCGCCATCACCCCAGTCCTAGGCCTTCAGCTGGGTTTTATAAAACCTTTTTACTTTAGGCCTCCGCTGCTGTGTGCAAAAAAAAAAAAAAAAAAAAAGTTCAATCAATCAATTTCAACTTCTCACGGAAAAAAAAAAGATCTCGCAAAGTTGGAATTGATTGATTGAACATTTTAGTCCCACTCAGTCTGCTGTTACCACCGCAGCCACATCCACCATATGGACCACGTTCACCCAATGGGCCACGCCCACCCAATGGGCCATACCCACCCAGCACCCAACGATACATGGGTTGCAGTTTGGGCACTCGATCTGTGAAAGGTTTGCCATCACTGGTCTAGGAGAACTCACTGTGGCCAATGTGCAATGGTGGAGTTGGCCATGGCGAGTTGTGCAATTCTACCTGGAGAAGGAGGAGGAGGAGGAGGAGGAAGAGAAGAAGAAGAAGAAGAAGAAGAAGAAGAAGAAGAAGAAGAAGAAGAAGAAGAAGAAGAAGAAGAATAAGAAGAAGAAGAAGAAGAAGAAGAAGAAGAAGAAGAAGAAGAGGAGGAGGAGGAGGAGGAGGAGGAGGAGGAGGAGGAGGAGGAGGAGGAGGAGGAGGAGGAAGAGGAGGAGGAAGAGGAGGAGGAGTTGTGTGGCTGAGTTTTTATAAGGATCTGATGTAGCTCAGGAACATATGCAATGAACAAAAATTGTTGCTCCAAAGGAATGACTTCTCATCTGGATGTATGAGAGAGATGAAGATATTGAAATACATAATAATCAAAACGGGGAGAAATGTCTCTTGATTCCTACTTTAATCCTGTGCTTCCATCTCAGTAAAGCCAAAGCTTGGTTTCAACCTATACAACCAGTTTAGGAGCCTCGAGCGCTTTATGAAGCCAAATCCTAAACGGTTCCACTGAAGAAAAAGAAAAGCACACCCTGTGGCAATTCCACAACCAGGGAAAACAGGTTTGAGAATGCTTTGAAAGTGATTCTGGGCTCACACTGAAAACCTCTGTGAAAAATGAAGCATTGTGTGAAAGAGATTAGACCAATTTATTAGCACTGGCTGAGAGATCCACCCATCATAAGAGCTTGGGAAACACTGCTCTCTGTCAGCATATCCGCTTTACTGTATGGAGAGCCTATTACAAAAGGTGAGAAGGAAGGGAGGGACGGAGGGAGGGAGGGAAAGAAAGAAAAAGTGCAGAAAGAAGGGAGAGAGGGAGGGAGAGAGAGGAAGGAAGGAAGGAAAAGAAAGAAAAAGTGCAGAAAGAAGGGAGGGAGGGAAAAAAAGGAAGGAAGGAAGGAAGGAAGGAAGGAAAGAAAGAAAGAAAGAAAGAAAGAAAGACGGGAGGGAGGGAGGGAGGAAAGGAAGGAAGGAAGGAAGGAAGGAAGGAAGGAAGGAAGGAAGGAAGGAAGGAAGGAAGGAAGGAAACAAAAATGCAGAAGGGAGGGAGGGAGGAAGGGTATGGATGCCAATGGATGCTTTTGCAAAACCAGCTTTTTGGCATTGGTGTTCTGGGTTAAGGAGAGAAATCCACCACAGGCACCAAAGTAAAGGCTACGTTTGTTTTTCAGAGCTACTACCGGGCACCGTTACTTAGACCACTGCAGCTAGAGAAACAACCTCCTAAGAAGATATAAAACCTGATTGGCTTTCACAGACGCTCCCGCTGATTCTATAAATAGTCCCGCACTGTATATATGCCCGCAAGAGCAGCCTACAAGAACAGCATGGCTAAGTAGCAGATAAGCAGGCAATTACAGCAGATAAAAAGATGCCAGACTTCTCTTTCTTCTAAGCCAGGCCTCGTCCCATTCACTTTTTTTGTTCAGGCTCTGAATGCCTGTTTGTCTATACCCGCTCTTCCCTTTCATTCCCCAAACTCTCCCACATCTTTCCTTTTATTCTCTCTCTGCTATTCTAGTAGGTCATTGCTGGGGGGGGGGGATACTATGCTTCTAGAAACTCTGAAAACAGCCCCGATTCTCCAGTTTGGAACAACTAAAGAGAGGAAAGACAAGGTTTAGGCACCAATTTAAGCGGCTTTGCTCTCGCAGGTCAGGAAAAAGAATACGCTACAGATAATCCTAGATTTACGGCCATTGACTGGGAGCAGAATTCCCAAGAATTGCTAAGCAAGGTGATTGTTATGTCTGTCGTGCCCAATTTTATGACCTTTTTTTTGGCCGTGGTTATTTAAGTGAATCACTGCAGTTATTAAATTAATCACACAGTCTTTCTTGGTGTTATGTTAGGACTCTTCTCATGATTGTGGAAGTCAAAGTATGGGTATGTGTAACACGGAGAATATATGATATTTTCCCTTGCTACATAAATTCTAGAAGCAGTGCAATACCACAGATACAAGTGCCGTTCAGCAGACAAAATAGCCACTTCTCGGAGTTGTTCAACAAGCCATAGTTTCAACGATGAATTAATGCAACAAATACACCCCACGAGGTTGTCCAGAGTTTCAGAAAGCGATTTGTTATAAATCTAAATTCCACTCCACTACTTACGGGTTGGTTCAAAGCTGAATATCTGTCCCTCTTGGTCTTCTTTAGCACTGCAGCTAGTCCTCAACTCACGGCCACAGTTGAGCCCAAATTTTTTGTTTGCCAAGTCAGACATTGGCTAAGTGAATTTTGCCCCATTTTGCGACCTTTCTTGACACCGCTTTTAAGTGAATCTTTGCGGTTGTTCAATTAGTAATATGCTTGGTAAGTGAATCTGGCCTCCCCGTTGACTTTGCTCGTCAGGAGGTCGCAAAAGGGAATCACATGACACCCGCCCCCAGGACGCTGCAACCGTCATAAATATGATGTCCTGGTTCCGACAGATGAAACTCCTCAAAGAACTTTGAGGCATTGTTTACCTTAAAGAATCTTTATTCGGTACTAACACAACCGAAGCCAAAAACTAAATTCCCCTCCCCCGAGCACGTAGTATCAAAGCACAAT